AGTGATCGTTGACCTCGTCAATGACACACAGCATTCGCACAAATAAACAAAATAAACAAGCGCTTAAACACTAACACAAATTTAGCAATGTTTATGTATTAAAACCCACAGTTTAAGTAACACTATTCAATTTATTTTGACAGTAGCAATGTTTACTTTAGAAATCTATACAAATAAATAGTAAAAGTACACTTATGTCGGAAAAAACACAGACTAAACTGAGAGGAAATATTATAATACGTGGTGCTCGCTTAGGCGTCGCAACTGAATATAATAAACTATCTGGTATAATAATAATGTGCGAACTCTATACTAATTGAAATATACTGTACGAAAGTAAACTCTTCCAATGATTAAAAATTGCGGGCGTAGTTGACGATGCTCTAGCACAAAATAGCAGCGCCACAGCCTTTGACGCTCATTACGATAACATCGAAACGAGACGGAGCGCGTGAAATAAATTAATACAGATCCGACCTCAACGAGCGCTCGCGCTCTATTGAACTCAAATGCAGAGGGCCGGCGTAGTGAAATATATGGTACATTTATTTAGTTAATTAAAAAATAATAGTAACGATTTAAAGAGTAAAAATGATGGTAGAGTTTAAGCAAATGTTGATGATTATTTTGGTATAAATTTTACGTCAAAATGATGTAGAACTTTAGAGATATTGGGGCTTGTATGGGGCTTTTTCGGTAGATAATTGAATTATGTCGATTTTTCCCTTACGTAAAAGGCATATAACGAAAATGTACTTAATAATTATTAAAGTATAGGATATTTGTGAATATTTAATTTTTTATATTTGATGGAGGTTTATTAACTCGCACGCGTGTGATACGGCGCATTGTCCATCTCCGCGATGTTATTTGGATGTATGTTTGGTATTAATTTTTCCTCAATATATTGATTGGATTTTTGGTAAAGAAACTCAGCACCCTTAAAAATCCATTTTCTGAACCTGCATGCAAAATAATCCATCTCCTTGGGGTTCCGTGCTCTTCGGCTTTAACATTTTATTCGGTTCATTATTTGCCATTAAACATAACATAAACACTCACGCCTGTCACCTAGAGGGGTAGGCAGAGACTACGGACTTCCATTTGGCACAATCCTGACATACCTCTTTCGCCTCCTTTACATTCATATATCTACGCATACATGCTCGTAGGTTAAGGGTACTTCTAACGTGGCCCCTTTTCAAAATATCGCCAATTTGGTCGATAAACATTTTTCTAGGGCGTCCCTTCCCGACTCGGCCGTTCACATCTGCCATATAATTTGCTTTGTCACTCTTTCCTCATTCATTCTTTCTACATGACTAAACCACCGAAGCATTCCTTTCTTAATCCTGGTCACAATATCATCTTGCATACCACATTTATCTCTTATCACGCAATTTCTCACCCTGTCATTCAGATTCAACCCTAGCATACTCCTTAAAGTCTACTTTCGTGCTTCTTCTGCCACACCCAGCTTTCACTACCATACATTAAAGTAGGGACTAACACAGCATTATGAATTACCATACGTGCCTTTTTTTGACACATTCTGGTTCTTCACAATAGAGTGTAGTACCCCATTCACTCTATTCCCTGCATTTACTCGTCGTTCTATATCCCTATCATATCTACCATCCCTGCTAAATACACATCCCAAATACACAAACTCATCCACTTGCTCAATTAACTCTCCTTCTATTCTTATTTCACATACCGTTTTGCTTTCTTCTCTTTCAAAAACCATCACTTTCGTCTTACTTGCGTTCACTTTCTTTCCCCTTTCTTTTAATTCCAAGTTCATTAATGTAACCATCATTTGCAACTCAGCCGCCGATGACGCAAATATGACTTGATCATCGGCATACAAAAGGCATTTGACGGTTAACTCGCCCATTCTTAACCCACATTCTTCATCTTTCAAAGTTTGCAAACACCTGTCCATAAATAGGTTGAACAGCCAAGGGGAAGCTACACAGCCCTGTCTGACACCTTTTTGGATGCCAAACCAGTCCAAGTAGACCCCATTGATCCTGACACAAGCACTAGAGTCCCTATAAAGAGACCTTAATGCCTGTATCAAACCAGCGCTCAACCCATATGAGTTCATTGTTTGCCATAACACATTCCTGTCCACTCTGTCATAAGCCTTTTCCAAGTCCATGAACGCACAAAAAACTTTCTAGTTTTTGGCCAAAAACTTCTCCGCAATCATGCGGATTGTTGACATGACATGCGGAAGTTTTTGGTCAAATTTTAAATTTAATTTGCCATTAAAGTGACCATTATAGTGGGTAATAATTAAAAAGTTATAGCCCTGCGACAAAGAGATAGATATATAGGGTAGGTAGTAGGGTAGGGTTCTGTTAGGCACTGCGCCGGGTAGTGGCGGTGTAAGAATATCTACTACACTATATTACCCACGTAGATATCGTAAGAGGCGACAAAGGGAAACAAATCAGGAGATGGCCAGCAGCATCTTCCTAATGACGACTAAAAGTAAAAAAAAAACTGCGGTTGCCAACTCGCTTGCGAAGCTTGGCAGCTACGGCAAAAATCCCCCATATGAGACAATCTATGAGAGTGCGGACTTTAGTACGATGTACCGGTACGATGCCGGGCACACTTTGGGTACGGAACCCTTAAAACGGACAACACTGGAAAAACCGAATATTGAATAGCGAATACAATATTTTGATTTATTATTTTATGGCACGCATAGTTTGTTCAAATCATTAATTATAAACAAACGGATAGTTACTAGATAAACTTGGTACTCACCACCTTTATTAATTCGAATGACAATCCTGTCACCAAATTCACCCTTGCATTGCTATAATGCTATGGGTGATAAAGTTTCAGATTTTTCTCTTCCTCAAAATGCTTTATTGCGTTATATACAATTTTACGTGTAGCACTATGTGTACTTTGCCGCGTTTAAGCTCCATTGTTAACAGAATGTATATAAAATAATAAAAGAAAAACACCAAATTAAAAATCTAAAACAATAACAGTGACTTAACAAAATTATTAATAAAATAAACTCTTAGAACGCGTTTAACTCACAAATTTGCAAAACCGATATATTTTTTTTAGTTTTGTTTTTGTTACCACTTATGCCAACGACAAGTCGGACTGAAGTTATAGCACATACGAAAAACCCATATAGCTACATTTTTTTGTAGTCTTTACCGGCGGGTGTGCATATAGATAGCGACAGTGTGCGAGCGAGAGGTAAATAAAGGCAACGCTATTTTCAGTCCCATTTTTTAACCGCACGAGTAGTCCTATTTTTAGTGAAATACGCAACATAATTATAGAAACTTATCTGTAAATAAACTTCAAATCACACAGACAAAGTACAAAAATTGTATAATAAGTAAAAATATAAAAATTATATAATTATAAGAAAACGCTGTCATTATTTAATAATGACAGCGTTTTCTTATAATTAATAGAATCAGGCATTACTTTGCGGAAATCCATTATAATAAAGATGTTAATAATTACTTTGCAACCATCCGTTCAAAAAATAAAATTAATGATGTGTTTTACCTAGTTTGAAGAGCACATCCCACCCTCTCTGGGTGCGTTGCGTGCACTAATCCCGTCAACACTAAACTATTCTAGGAAAGACACACCATCGACGATAATACGACACGTGTTTCGCCTCTACACGAGGCATCTTCAGGTTCAGCGTTTTCTTGGTCAAGTTCAACATAATAAGTGTTAGATTGTTACAAAAATTGTTGAAACAAGGAAGTAGTCTCTTTGCCCGCTCGCAGTCGAAGTTAACAACTTAGTGTGCAATATATTCAGGCCGCAAAGCCCGTCTATTAATATACATAGATGTCTTTGATGTTTTATTTATCATCATCATTCATTGTTGTTATTCTTCTTCTTTCTGCCCTCATCGCCAGTTATTTGGTCGACATAGCATTTCCAATTCCATTCTCCTCTATTAGCTCCCATCTCTTCTCTCATACCTTCTTATGCATATAATCCCTACTACAGTCTATCCATTTTTTCCTTACACCGCCCTATATTGTTTTATTTATCCACTTACATAGCCAACATTCTTCTCGTTATGTCTGTAATCCTTATACGTTTTAATGGCTTGGCTGATCGAAACACGGTTTACGGCATTCGAAAGAGTTCTATTGTCATTCGATTTCATGTTAATTTTAATCAATTCGGCTTTTAACAAATTTCAAAAGTTAAATTTAAAAAAGTTTTTTTTTGCTTTACTTTTAAAAACAACTTCAATTTCCGCAAAACGCATTAAAATAGGTTCATTTTCGTTCAAAGAGAAATTGATTTTTCTTGAATTTCTCTTGAAAAAATTATGACGTTTTTGTGAATATAACTGCAATAAAATGCCTCTTATTATATTTACCATAGTTGCCACGCGTGGTAGTTTTTTTATTTTGTGTTGTTATCAGAGATGCTGCCGATTATCTCCTGTTTTAATTTGAGGTAGTAGATTCTCTTACGCCGTAAAGTGGGAATATAAGATAATCAATCTCAGACCGATCATGGGCAGCAACAGAGTTGGGCAGTAGTAAGTTTATTTACGTGGTAGAGCCACGCTGTAGCTATATTATAGTTGTAGTACAAATGGGTCGGCTCGACCGTGGCAGGACCACGCTCTCACAGTATATCAGCGTAAAATAGCAGCGTAATGCTGCTGAGTGTGGCATTCCATCTTAGTTGTCAGGGGTAACAACGCATCTGCAATTTGATTCTTAATCGAGGATAAATGTACCTAAATGTCTATGGGCCACAGCATCCACTTACCATCAGGTGTCACCTAATGTTATAAAAAATAACGGTCATATACAGGAAGGCAGCAGCGACAAAAGTGCAAGTGTTTGGTATTGCGATTCTCAACCTGCCATGCCGTCAATAAAACGGAAGGAGTCCATGTCCAGTAGTGTACTTCTTGCGGTGAATTTTAGCATGCTGACAAATACGAGTAAAAGAAGAAGGAAATAAGTTACCTTAGGTATATGGTCGATTTTGTAAGGCGTTTGTTGGAAATTTCTTATTTCTCGAATCACATGCGCTATCTGTAAATATGGTAAGAGAAAGAGTTTAAACATAATTACATTACAAAATATATAAGAAAACTCAGTGTGATTTCAAAAATATAAATGTAAGTACAGAAATGACATTATTAAAGAAACATTAATGACATGACGACTCCGTGGCGCAGTGGCTTAGCAATGAGTGGCTGCGCTAGGGGTCGCGGGTTCGAATCCCGCACGGAACAAGTATATGTATGGCCTACAAATAGTTGTTCCGGGTCTGGATGTTTGTCCTTGTGCATTTTATGTTTGTAAACTGCCCCCACGATACAAGAGAAAATCTTAGTGTAGGGGTAACGTTTTTTAAAAAGAACAAAAAAAAATTAATAATGAATATAATTTTTTTTTAAATTAAAATGAATGACATAGTAAAATTTGTTTAAAATTTAGCAATTTCCAAAAATCTGGCAGCACCACGTTGTCGTTACATTGGAATTTTGAACGTGTTTTGATGTGCAGTATCCTCCTGTGTAATACGATACTCTATGGTCTGTGGTGTTTTGGTATTGTTATGTTTCTCGACAGCCGCTCGCACCGCATGTATTCATTCCCATGTTTCCCCTCGAATCAAAATGATTTGTGGGTGAAGTATAGAGAATGTAATATAATATAATGACGTGTCTGAGGATGTTTTGCATCGTGTGCGCCGTCAAACTTTTAACCCTACACTACAAATGACTGCAGAAATTTACAATGAGACATTGATCGTGGTAGAAGATATGTGTTTATTGATGGCAAATAAAGTATTGTCGTGTTTGAGAATAACAGCACCCAATCGTCATATGCACGACACATTAAACCACGAGTTGCAAAGAGAACAACAGTAACATTGAAGCATTGACCGAAACCGTTCGTACAAATGTTCCACAATTGAATCAACAACAAAGAATTGCGTACGACACTTTGATAGAAGCTGTGAATTTATTTCCTTGATGCTCCCGGAGGAACCGGAAAAACGTTCTTAATTTCATTGCTTTTGGCCAGGATCAGATCGCGAAATGATGTAGCTCTAGCGTTGGCTTCATCTGGAATAGCTGCGACTCTGCTGGAAGGCGGGCGAACTGCACATTCTGCTCAGAGGTTATACTTAAACATGCAAATCAACGAAACACTAATTTGCAACATCGCCAAAAATAGCGCAATGGCCAACATCCTAAAGTTATGCAAATTAATTGTTTGGGATGAATGCACAATAGCCACTGGAGGTCACCGGAGGCACTGGAAAGAACGTTGAAAGATCTACGTGACAACTTCGTGAGAATCGTGAAGTAACCGGCTGTTTTAAAATACTAGCTATATTTTGGACTACATTTAGCAAGTTCTCGCCACGCCTTTCCGGAAGATTACTGATTTCAGCATTAGGCCTTCTCAAAGTAATTCCACAAAGCACCGCTGTAAGTCACCGGCATTCTGTTATTAACGAAAGTCTTTATAATGATTTCTTATATTTACGCGAGCACTACCCACTGATTAAAACTACTTTTACGGATTTTATCGCGTTTAATTGAAATGATTTCTAATTCCCGGCAGATCGGACCATAAATAATAATTAAAAAGCTAAAGGTAATACGGGTTAACATTGACATCGGAACGACGGTTACCACAGTCTCCCGTGACCATGGGTGCTGGAAAGCACCCCAAACGTCGGGAATTAAAAGTCATTTTAAATTAAACGCGATAAAATCCGTAAAAGTAGTTTTAATGCAAGTCTTTATTTTAACGTCTCGAAATTAATTTCAACCCTAACTTGATTAATTTATTTATTTATTTAAAAACTTACACGTAATACCTTAAGCTAAAGGGTACATAGGGCGGATTTAATGCCATGTGGCATTCTCTACCAGTCAACCCTGGGTGCCAAGGACAATTGTTGGCAGGTGCGACCTACATTAAAATATACATATATGCAAAGTACATACATACACATTACATTTAAATATACACACATATAGTATAAATATACGTACAATAATATATATATATATATATATATATATATATATATATATATATATATATATATGTGTAATATAATTTTTGAATAATATATAATGAAATAAATATTAGAAGTAAAAAAGAAAAAAAGAAAGACAAAAATTAAGGAAAAATAATGTTAATTAGTAGTTTTCATCAGGTAATGTTCTCGGAGAAGAACTTTGAAAACTTTTTTATTTGTGGCATTCTTAATATCGTTGGGGAGGGTGTTCCAAAGTTGTATAGCTTGTATCGTAAAAGACGACCTAAAAAAATTTACTTATGCTGTGGAAAACTTAACCTCAGACGGTTTGACTGTCGGGATGTTCGACCGTCGATCGGATGAAAAAAATGAAAATTATCCTTAAGATAAGAAGGCGACCTTGGATCGTTTAAAATTAATGTGACAAAACAAAAAGTAATTCTTACCATTCTCATCTTGGAGAAGTTTAGAAGACCATCGGGAGTATAATTTGGCGTCCCTTCTTCTATAAACGACAAATCGGATAGATACATGCCCAAATACGGGATACACGGTGGGTCACATCTGTAAAATTTACAGAAGTGGCTCAGCTTGGATGCAATTAATCTTAGTGTTATAAAAATTGACATAAAAAAATATCAATGGCTATATACCATAATACAGTAGTATAGATATAATATATTAAAGCCATGTTGCAGCTGTATTTCGGTTGTATCACGAATGGGTCTGTTCGACCGGAGGAAAGACCAAGCTCTCATAGAATAGCAACTCAATGTTGCTGTGTATCGTATGGTGAGTGTAGAGAACCGGAGACCCTTTTTACTAGAAATGAGGCACTCCATCTTGGTCCTCAGACGTGCCATCTGCATTTTGATTCTTAATCGAGGATAGATGTTGATGTCTATTCACTTATCATCAGGTGGACTGTATGCTCGTTTGTCACCCTTATTCTATAAAAAATAATATGGTCAGTACCCCACAAGAGGTACCATAATCCTAACATTATCGTCGTCATCATTGCAGTCCATTACATGTCTATGGCTGAACAGCTCTTCACAAATCCATTGCTAAACATAGGCTTCCCCTAAGGAATTTCACAAAGCACGGTCATGAGCCACTTGTATTTATTGACTTCCTGCGTTTCTTACCAGGTCACCACTCCATTTAGTGGGAGATCGACCGACTCTACGCTTACTGGTACGAGGTTGCCACTCGAGAAACTTTCTTCCCCATTGGTTGTCAGTTCTTAAAGCTATACGACTGTTTAATCTCCACTTCAGCTTATTACCATATCCGTGGACCTGACATCATCATCATCATCATAGAATACTATAATAAATACATAATAGAACGGGGGAGCCCGCGTAGCCACTAAAATGTCACTACCATGTCAATTCACACGTATAACTGTCAACACGAGATTTGTTTTGACGTTACAATCCTTTCCAAATTTCGCATGCAAATTATTTAAAAAATGCCAAATTGCACACTATTTACAAATAAATATGTATTAAAATTTAAACGATTTTTTTAATGATGATCTTGAACATTAATCAAGTCTAAAATGTGTAAATTTACTCAGTCTGTCAACACAGCGAATCGGGTTTGGCGACGCCAATCCTTGTACAAAATAAAGTTGACAGCCATTCTATTGTGTATTATAGTATTCTATGATCATCATCATCATCATCATCATCATCATCATCGTCACTACAGCCATTCAAAAAATTCCACTACTGAACATAGGCCTCTCCTATAAATTTACTCATAGGGGGATTTTACCCATAGTTGCCACACTTGGCTGGCCGGTTGGCAACCGTAGTTTTTTTAATTATGTTAAGTTGTTATCAGGAAGGCTCTGTTGGTCATATCCCATCTCATTTCCATATGACGCCTCTTACGACACCCACAGGATGATCTATTTTAGTAAAGTGTCTTTTGCCGCCACTACACGACGAAGAACCATTTAGAAGTATTATTAAGCTACGAGAGCCATGGTAGCTTAGATGGTCAACGCTCGCTGTAAATATAACAGAACTCGAGTAGCCCGGGTTCGATCCCCGCCGGTGTAATTTAATTGCAATTTTCTGATTTACCACGTGCTCGGCGGTGAAGGAAAACATCGTGAGGAAACCTGCATGTCTGAAGAATAAGAAAAAAAATATTTCGAAGACATGTGAAGTTCGCCAACATGCATGGAGGCAGCGCGGCGGACACTTCCTTGCCCTAAAACCCTCTCATAAATGAGAGGCCTGTGCCCAGCAGTGGGACGTATATAGGCTTGCAACTTTACCTTTTACTTTTTATTAAGCTACAAATCACGGATCTTTTTATACACACTAAATAAACTTTATTTTCATCTTTATATTGTTTTATTTGCCGTGCCATTATACAGCATTTGAATTCCCTTTAGACGAGATAGCGATTAGTGAAATTGACCGATCGATAATCTGATCGAAGCTGCATTCGGGAATTTCCCGCTTTATGACCTGCACTTGCACTGATCCGTATCTGTATCGACTAATGAAAATGGTTCGTTAAATTTGAGCCTTATATGCTGTGTAGTAAGTTTTAGAAACCTCCCGCATATTAAAGTGTATATCTAAATGTATACTCATCATAATGATGAGTACTTGTATATTTAGATTTGATTTTTTAAGATTGTGTCACGTGAGTTATTGCTATCAGATTTGTTTCTTTACACTCAATAAATAGAAACGGGTACCAGATAATACCTGTGCAAAGCGTCACGTAAAATTCTGAATCTGCACTCCGACGATATTAAAATCTGCATTTTTTCAATGGTTTGCTTACTCTGAAAAATAAATAATTAACATGTTTTTTTTAATTTCTTCGATTTGTAGTAAAACTTAAAACAATGAGTGATACCTACAGTTTCTTACAAACTCAAATCCTAATTTTCAAATTCAAATTTATTTATTTGTGAATACAGGTAATGAGACAGAATAGATACTTAAGAATGATATTAGCTGTATTCAACCCTTATTATATTATAATTATATTAGAATGCGCAACACAAATTTGAATGAGTCGAAAACCGACCGAAACCCGCATGATCTGAATGAATTGAAAGAAAATTTCCGTTCCCAATAGATCTCACAGACTTACAGAGATGATCCATTTGAATCATCGATCCGAATGTACCGGTACACGTGACGAAATGTACTAGAATGATTCGGTCACGAGAAATGAATGATTGACACGTGTCTAATTTCTACAAACAGTAACCGTCGTAAATGAAAATTCAATTACGTGATACATTTATCGTGCCAGTTAACCGCACGTGACACAGTTTCTATTCTGAATTGTCGGTTTAGAAATATAAGCACATACAAGTCTTCAGCATCCAAAGTAAAAATTAAACCAAATAATATTCTGGACTGAATGGAATGCTTTGTCAGTTGAAACGATATTAGGTCTAGGCAAGAATAATCATTCTGTCTGTGATGATAGTCTAGCTATAGTCCATTTAATGTAAATATTATTGCAGAATCTTACATAATATCAGCGTAAAATACCAGGTTAACGCTGCTGTGCTTCGTATGGTGAGAGTAGAGATCCGGAGACCTTTTTTACTGGGGACGAAGCATTCCATCTTGGTCCTCACGGGTGACAACGAATCTGCATTTTGATTCGTAATCGAGCATAGATGTAGATGTCTATGAGCCACAGTAGTCACTTACCACCAGGTGGACTGTGTGCTCGTTTATTACCCTTATCCTATAAAAAACTACAAATGTTAATATAATTATTTAAAATTAAAATCGTATAAAAGGCAAAGTTTCTATTAAGTTTCATAACTTCTTTCCATTCTCTCCAGAGGGACATTTTATAGAGATTAAATTTCTATCAAATGATATAAAATTCATCAAAAATAATTTAATTAATTAATTGCTTACAGTTTTTGAAACTTTTTCCCAAGTCTTCTTCAAGCGGTAGACGGACGTATTAGATAACGCGGCGCAGACCTGCAGGACACCATTGAAGTTATGCAGGCAGCGGGCTATATCAGCCACTGCCGCCCACTTCTCAATTGCTGCAACTCGATCTATAACACATTTACATTACAAAGTTACAATATTCTTCCAACATAGCCAAGTTTCTTGATATATTCATTCATAAAAAGTTATGTGAATGTAGAATCAGATCTATACCCGTTGAACTCTGATTATTATTGACTTCATGGTCTGCCTTTTTAAGTTTACTGTGTGTGTTTTTTTATTGATAATATTATTACTAGCCAATAATACCACTTATCTTTTTTATAGGAACCTTATGAAAACTTCTTGTCACAACAACCTTATGAAAACTTCTTGTCACAACGTGCGATAGCCAATCTTTACCTTTACACCACTCCGCGTGGGAAATGCGACAAAAAAAGAAAAACAGCCGACACCTACGGTACAAAACACACTACAAAACACATGGCACTTCATTTCATATGAACATAGTCTATACATAATGATTTCTTATATTTTAACGACCATTACCCATTTAAATAAAACCAGTCTTTATAGATTTTTATCGCGTATATTAACTATTGTTACGAACTTAGGGTTCGTGACAACACAAACTGTCGTTTGAAATACCAAAATTGACACTTTCGTTACTGAACACCAATTGAAACTAATACACACTAACGATTAATCACACTTAACACTTTAGTTCACCTTATTTCGCTCCTAAGTCTTCACTTGTATCGCCAATTCAATACTGTCCCGGTCGCAACCCTCGACGGCTTTAAATAGGCCTTTTCCACCGAAACATCCAGAATATTCAAGCAAATACCGGCCCCGACCGACCAGGTGCAGACAGTTTGAGTGTGGAGCTTTTTAGAAAGCTTAGTTCTTCCATTCGATACTAGATGGCGCTAGTGGGAGAGTTCTAGAAAGATCTTGATGCTCCTATTTCTGCGCTTGATACCAAATGGCGCTAATAATCAGCCACCACGTACCAGGCGCTAATTATAGCGCGCAACATTATTTTATATTTGTGACGTTTCAAGCACACGAGAGTTCTACAAGCTAGTAGATGGTGTGGCGATGAGCTCTCTTGTATCTCCCATTGTCGCCGATATATTCATGGATTAACATGACTTTGAGGAGAAAGCCCCGCTTACTTCTCCCGTAAATTCAAGATTCTACAAGCGGTACGTAGAGGTGGCGTAAGGTGCCCACCTTTACAATTCTACCTTTAGATAAAGTAACTGCATTTTTAGACCATCTTAACTCATAAACTTTTAAATTCAGTTCACAATGGAGTATATACAAATAATTCTTTAGCTTTTCTAGATGTGTTAGTAATTCGGACTCCTGATAACACATTAAGCTCCAATTTATAAAAAGTCCTATACAGATAGATATTTAAACAGTGACTCTCACTACTATACTTCACAGTTAGCTACCGTGGGTAAATCTTTGTTTCAGAGAGCTCGAGGGATCTGTGACAGTAAACACCTGGCTGCCGAGCTCCAACACTTAAAGCAAGTCTTACATGACAACAAGTTTCGGGTTTCGCGGCTACGTCACAGTGAAGCTGGCCACAGTCGAGCGTGTACCTGTCGTACTGCTATATATCAGAGGCGTCTCTGACAAGGTTGGCTACATCTTTAAGCGTTCATTCATTCATTCATTACAGCCCTTCACAAGTCCACTGCTAAACATTGGCCTCCCCCAAGTAATGCCACAAAGCACGGTCCTGAGCCACCTGCATCCATCGACTTTCTGCATGTGTTACCAGGTCGTAACTCCATCTAGTGGGGGGTCGCCCTACACTTCGCCTACCGGTACGAGGCTGCCACTCGAGAAACTTTCTTCCCCATCGCTTATCGGTTCTTCGAGCTATATGGCCGGCCCATTATTATTTACTAATCTACTACTACTCTACCCATTACTAATCCGTTGGGCTATGTCGGTCACTCTGGTTTTACTGCGGATATCCTCATTTCTGAGTCTATCACGCAGAGAAACTCCGAGTATAGCCCTCTCCATAGCTCGCTCTTTAAGCTTGCTTTCATTAAAACATACTTCAAGCCGCTAAAGAATATTAATCAGCTTTTACCATCAGTCAAGTGTAATATGTACAAGATGCAAGAATGCACAAGCTTGATTGTGAATGTGGTCATTCTTACATAGTGTTACAAGCTTGAGGTTCGTGACAATAAAAATTGCCGATAAAATTACCTAAATTAACACTTTAATTTACTTTACACAAATTAAAACTTAAAACACTAATAATTAAACACACTAATTCACTTAATTCCGCTCCGAAGCTTCGCTTGTGTCGCCGAGTTCAACTCTGCCCCGATCGCATCTTGCAGCGCCTACTTATTTAAATTAGCAGAGAAATATCCAGAATGTTCAAGTAAACACGCGCAAGGTACTGAGCGTTCGAGTTTCGACTAGGCGCTATCGGTTGAGTGATTTGTGATGTCATTTTCTCAATGCTCCCCTCGCTCTCGTTCCTGACACTAGATGGCGCTAGTGTATCGTCGACATGAGCGCGTAACACTGCCCCCTCCTAAGACATGCTCGTCCCGAGCATTATCGGCCCCATAATAACGCGCCAAGCGATTCACATGGACGATCTTAGGAGTCCCTCTTGCGCCTTTCTGTAACGGCTCCGCAATGTCAAGGGCTGTCCTATCCCGTGGTGCACCAACATTGTACAATTTCGGTGCTCCTCTACTACGTGTCCGAGGTCCCCGCACGGCCGCACAACTTGTACATGTACGACACCAATCCTCGACATCGTCACGATAATGGACCCAGTAAAACTGTTCTCTGACCTTCAGTAGAGTTCGTTTAACTCCCAGATGGACTCTTGAACGACCATTATGGCACAACTGTAGAACATTCGGCACTTTAGCTTTAGGGACAACCATTTGCAAACGACAGCTGTCTCTTCGACCATTGTCCCATTTACGGCACAGGACTCCATCCTGAATCAGCAAGCTGTCCCATTGGGCCCAATAGCTTTTCGTGGTTGAACTCATCGCTGAGACGTCCCTCCACTTAGGCTTGGTAGCACGGGCCTTCATCCATCCCAGAATCGGCTTGATGTCCGGATCTTCCTGCTGTGCATGTCGTAGGTTGTCCTTCCACCCGTTGCTGAGGTGGTCTGTCCTGAGCATCCTCACGGATACCACCTCCTTACTCTCTTGCCTACTACAATGGTTGCAATCTTCAGGACAAGGTCTTCTTGACAATGCATCTGCGTTGCCGTGAGATTTCCCGCTGCAGTGTCTGATAGTAAAGTCGTATTCCTGCTGCTGCTGGGCGGTGCTGTTAGCCGCACTTCCTTTCTGAGACCGTTCACCTTCCCTTCCTAGGATGTGCTTAGGGCAGCTGGACCGAAGATGGCCCCTTTCCCCACAGCCATAGCACCTAGGGCTGTATCTTTTATTGTGGTCGCGAACCGTAACCGCTGTAACCTCCCTAGCGTGAGGTGCACGATGCTACTGTCGCCGCCAGGCAGTGTCGTTAGCTGCACTACCCTCTCGAGATCGATCAACTCTCCTTTCCACTGTTCGCTTAGGGCAGCTGATTCGAAGATGGCCCTTTTCCCCACAGCCATAGCACCTAGGGCTGAATCCTTTGTTGCGGTCGCGAACCGTAGCTGCTGCAACCTCCCTGATGCGATGGGAACGATGATCCTGCCGCACGGCTTCCACTTCCAGTGCATGGGCCAAGGCGTCCTTAAGCGTCTCATGGTGCCCGAGCCTCACAGCAGCTCTGACTTCCAGGTCGCGGATGCCGTCGATGAATGTCTGCACCAGGTTCCCTTCAATGAGCGCAGGTACAGACCGGTATGCTTTTCGCACCAGCTTCTCCACTTCTAGAGCCCACTGCTGCAGGTTTTCGTTGATGCGCTGCACACGATCTTTAAGCTGCGCACGAAAGACGTGTTCCAGGTGAGCGTCGCCATATCTCGCCTCCAATGCCTCAAGGAGTTGCTCATAAGTCACTTCCTCACCGAGAGCTTCCAGAACTGTTAAGGCCTGGTCGCGCAGGCCTAGTGTGAGAGCAGTCATGGCCTGACTTTTATTCCAGCCGTTCGCCTTCATAACAGCCTCGAACTGGATTTTGTAGGCTGACCAGCAAGAGGTCCCGTCGAACGGCGGCACTTTGAATCCACGTAGCGAAGGTGTTGTAGCTACTACGGGAGCTGTTGTTCCATCTCCAAGTTTGAGTTCGTCCAGTGATTTCTTCATGTCGGCCATTACGTTGTCAACCCGATTGTTTACTTGGTCGATTCGGGTTTCAGCTTTCTCGATTCGGTTTTCAGCTTTCGCGATTTGGGTTTCAGCTTCCGACAGGCGGTTGTCATGCTGAGCAACCCTATCCTTCACCTCCTTTATCTCCTTCCCGAAGGTAGCGTGAAGGTCCTTCATGAGGAGCATCTGTTCCTTCTGTCGGCGGGCCTGTTCCTCTTGTCCGCTCTGCAGCTGCTCTTTCAACTGACGGACCTGTTCCTCCTGTCCGCTCTGCAGCTGCTCTTTCAACTGACGGACCTGCTCCTGCAGCATCACCATCAGGGCGCCTAAATCAGGTGCTGCAGATGCAGGAGCTACTGACGAACCGGCCTCCGTTGCCGGCGGCTGGCCCTCCGACGTCTGCGGCGTTGCACCACCAAATCTTCTCTGGTCCGTCTCATGCTGGCGTTGACTGCGGGTACGAACACCCTCCGTTTCCTCCTTAGGTAAAATCGGCATGATTTTATCCCACTTCTGACACCAATTGTTACGAGCTTGAGGTTCGTGACAGTAAAAATTGCCGATAGAATTACCTAAATTAACACTTTAATTTACTTTACACAAATTAAAACTTAAAACACTAGTAATTAAACACACTAATTCACTTAATTCCGCTCCGAAGCTTCGCTTGTGTCGCCGAGTTCAACTCTGCCCCGATCGCATCTTGCAGCGCCTACTTATTTAAATTAGCAGAGAAATATCCAGAATGTTCAAGTAAACACGCGCAAGGTACCGAGCGTTCGAGTTTCGACTAGGCGCTGTCGGTTGAGTGATTTGTGATGTCATTTTCTCAATGCTCCCCTCGCTCTCATTCCTGACACTAGATGGCGCTAGTGTATCGTCGACTTGAGCGCGTAACAATAGGATATACTAAAAGACCAACAAACACCTGCGTTAAAGAACATATAGCTGATGTGAAGAATCAACGCTCCGGGAAGTTTGCAGTTTGTGAACACGTACAGGATCCCCGTCACTACATCATATTTCATAGACTACAAGTTCTTCGCTAAAGAATACCGATTCCTTCCAAGGATGATTCGCGATGTTATTGAAATTAAAGAACAACCGAATTTCAATAGAAAATATGGCTGGGTTCTACCATATTCTTAGGATCCTATCTAGTATATAAACATTAATTTTTGTATGTTCGTATTTTATGCACTGCCATGCCGTTCATTGAAATTGAGATTGAGACAACCATAAAATGTTGTCAACATTTTGCTTGCACTTCCGCGAAGGTTATAGGCATAGTACAATTAACGATTAAAAAATTAACAATTAATTTATTTGAAAATTATATTGTATGATTTAATTTCAAGGAATGTATTATCATTCCCAATTAAACAATATAACTGTTCCAAATTTAAAACGATTTTTCAACAATTATTTCTTCTGCGGCAGCAACGCGTCGAGTACCAGCTAATAGTTAATAAAATTGAAATCCCAACCCAAGCATACTACTAACTGCGAGACTTTAAGATACTTTAAGTATATGTTGCGTAAATCGGAACAAAAATAAATTGTTTTAATCTGGAGGTAGCCGTGGTTAATTATGACATTGGGACGTCGAACACTTCAGTCCCCCCCGTCACCTTGTGTGCTGTAAAGTACTCGAAACGTCGGAAATATATAACAAAAATAGCGATAAAATCCGTATAAAAATAGTTTTATTTAAATAGCCTGTACATACTACATACAACATAGTAAGATATGCTTATTGTATAAAAAGAGCCATCTGTAGGAAAATAAAGTTTAATTTTTTATCTATTAGACAGTTTTGTACCCGTTTTCTTGTATTTTATCTCAGTTTGATTTTTTTCCCTCTTTATTTGTACAAAGGTTCAGCAGTGTACTTACACGGGCTGACTATCTCTCCCATTGTAGGAAGAGTTTGAATTAATAGTTAGTTAGGCAAACGGATTGACGATCAGAATATCAATTAAATACAAAATATTCTGTGACCTATCCAAGGCCTTCGATTGTATTCCATGAAACAATAATCATGAAACTTCAACACTACGGTGTAAGAAGTGATGCTCTTAAATTATTTATTTCATATTTAAGTAACAGAACGCAAAAAGTTGTCATTAATAGTATGAGTTCTTCTGGGTCAACTGTACAAATGGGCATGCCTCAGGGCTCAATTCTCGGCCCCTTTCTGTTGAACGATGACTTACTTTACATTGTAGGGGATAACCATGATATAGTATTATTTGCTGATGATACTTCATTAATTTTCAAATTAAAACGACAGTTATTAAATTACGACGAAGTAAATAATGCTATAGCTAAGTTAGTCAATTGGTTTAATGTTAATAATTTGCATTTAAATGGTACTAAAACTAAATGTTTGAAATTCGTAACTCCTAATGTCAAACATGTTAATACGAATGTAATTTTAAATGGAGAAGATCTGATTCTTGGTGATACCACAATTTTTCTTGGAATCACACTAGACGTAAAGCTTCAATGGCTCCCCCATATATCAAAACTAGCTAGCAGACTTAGTTCTGCAGCATATGCTGTAAAAAGATTACAACTCTTACCAGTGTTGAAACAGCTGGAATATTTTACTTTAGTTATTGTCATAGCATTAGGTCGTATTTTGCTATGGGGACACGCGACTGACACTGAAATTATATTTATTTTACAGAAGAGGGCCACTAGAGCAATATATAATTTAAAACCAAAAGAGTCACTGAGACAAAAATTTAAGGAAATTAATATATTAACTTTGGCCTCTCAATACACTTATGAAAATGTAATGTACGTACACAAGAATAAACGTAGTTTTGCAAAAATAAGTGATATTCATTCTGTAAATACTAGGAACAGACACAAGCTAGTAGTACCAGTTACTCGACTCCACCGAGTCAGTAATTCATTCTTGGGGCGATGTATACGCTTTTACAACAAAATCCCAGTAATAAACAATATAGAAAAATATACAAAATTTGCCGTACGCAAAGTTCAAAAATTTTATTAAACTAAGTTTGTATAAAAAGGGTTATTATAATATTAAGGAATTTATGGATGATAATAACCCTTGGGAAGGGTGACCGCTACCAAGCTATTTCTAATTTGTCTTGTGTTTCTAATTGTAAACATGATTGTAATCTATTATTTTATATTTTATTATTTAAAAAAAATATTACCGCTGGGTTTCTTCTTGGTTCTTCCCAAGACAGAGGTTTTTTTGCGAACCAGTGGTAAATGAAAAAATTTACTTTCAATAAGTATTGTTTATAATCTACATTGAATAAAAAAGTTTCTATTTCTATTTCAAATCTGACCAGATCAGCCACCCTGTTAACCAGCTCGACCGGGAAGGACCACGCTCCCACACAATATCAACATAAAATAGCAGCTTAATACTAATGTGCTTCGTATGGTGAGTGTAGAGAACCGCAGAACCTTTTTACTGGAAACGAGGCATTCCATCTTAGTCCTCACGGGTGACAGCGCATTCGCGTTTTGATTCTTAATCGAGGATAAATGTAGATGTTTATAGTCCATGCAGTCGATGGATGCAGGTGGCTCATGACCGTGTTTTGCGGCATTACTTGGGGGAGGCCTATGTTCAGCAGTGGACTTGTGAAGGACTGTAATGTTGATGATGATACTCTACAGCATCCATTTAACATCAGGTGGACTGTGTGCTCGTTTGTCACTTAATGTTCTAAAAAATTCATAAATTTACCCAATAATGTGCATTTCTTGAGTATTTCCGAAATGACGAGGTTTGAAATGTGGTTGAAGTGCGCCGTCATCATCAGTATATGTGGGGCTCGCTCCGACTTGTCGCCTTTCGTCCAGGCTTGGCCCAGGAACTCTCTGTATGATAATAACTTATATATATGGTAAACTTATTATAGCTGATTCAATAGACGACGTAGGGTTTTTTTTAATTTTATCAGCCAGTTTTTACTTCTTAGTGATTAGCATTGATGTTTATACGTGGTAAAGCCATGTTGCAACTACATTATGCGTCGGCTCGAACGGGGAGGAACGCTCTCACCGAACACTAGCACGAAAAAGCCGCTTAATGCTGCTGTGTTTTGGTTTTTTTTTTGTAGGATAGGGTGACAAACGAGCACACAGTTCACCTGATGGTAAGTGGTTGCTGTGGCCCATAGACATCTACATTATCTTCGATTACGAATCAAAATGCAGATGCGTTGTTACCCGTGAGGACTTAGATGGAATGCCTCGTTTCCAGTAAAAAGGGTCTCCGGTTCTCTACACTCGCCATACGAAACACAGCAGCATTAAGCTACTATTTGACGCTGGTATTCTGTGAGAGCGTGGTGCTTCCCCGGTCGAGCTGACCCATTCGTGCTGCAACTATACTACTAATGTAACTACAGCATGGCTCTACCACGTATAAATCGTATGGTGAGTGTAGAAAACCGGAGACACTTCTTACTTGAAACGAGGCATTCCATCTTACTCAACGGGGTGACAACGCATCTGCGTATGCTCGTTTGTTACCTTTATACTATAAAAAACATACATTAAAAACAAATTGGCCAAAATTGAAAATTTTGGCTCCTGAGATACAGGTTTCACCTACATTAGAAGCCAGGTACTTTACATTTATTTGTTAAAATTTACAGGTGAATTAAAGTATTATTTTGTAACATTCATACAATCAATGTCAAACATTTAAATTTCGTTAGTTGTCGTTCATACTGCCATTTTAAGCAAAAAAGCATTTTTTTTAAATATTGAATATTAGATATCTGTGTTTTATATATTGATATGCAATTATGTGTGAAATACAGCTTGCTTAATATATAAACCTGATTTTTTTATAGAATAAGGGTGACAAACGAGCACACAGTCCACCTGATGGTAAGTAGATGCTGTGGCCCCTAAACATCTACATCTATCCTCGACTAAGAACCAAAACGCAGATCCATTGTTACGCGTTGAGCACTAAGATATAATGCCTCGTTTCCAGTAAATAATTGTCTCCGGGTCTACTCTTACCATACAAAACACAGCAGTATTAAGCTGCTATTTTACGCTGGTATTCTGTGAGAGCGTGGTCATTCCACAGTCGAGCCGACCCCTTCTTGATACAACCATAATATAGCTGCAGTGTGGCTCTACCACGTATAAATGCCACATTTCGAACACTGGGCCGTGGTCGCCCACTAGTTTTAACAAATCGTTACCAGATGTAATTAGTGGGTTACGAGCTGGTGGATGATCATGGTTACAGTGTTCGCGTATACTCACTGGCTGTGGATGAAGCTGAAGATCTGATAGTCCAAGAACGTCATTTGTTCTGCGATCTCCAGGGCTGAGAGAGTTTCGATACTTTCTTTCGTTGGCACCTACAATACAGTATGTAAGTTACCACAAAGTTGCCGTAAATAGCATTGAAGTGACCTAGTCTCACCAAGAACTACATTCTGATTTATTATATTTACACGAACACTACACATTGTATAAAACTGTTTTCTCAGATTCTATTGTCAATTGTCAATCACCTCAGTATTCCCGTGACAATAGGTGCTACACAGCATTTGAAACGTCGGGCATTATAAATAAGTAAAATTATACGCGATAAAATCCGTAAAGAATAATTTATTCAAAAACTACCTACATTCGATTAAAAAAATGTTTGAATATGTGAGAGTCTTCTTTGCTTCCATGAGATAATCTTATGGATTATGATAAGATAATCTGATGGAAGGAATCTGTGGGGGGGGGAGTTACCCAATTGATGAACGAAAGTAGAAATATATTATAATGTAGACGCGGCGAAAAAGACACCACTTCTCCATTTAGACCCCTGGGGGTTGTGAGAGGCGACAGATGGGAACTGAAGGAGGAGATGGGTGGTAGCATCATAACAGCGCAAAGTAATAAATAGCTACGGTCTATTTGATAAAGAATGAGGGAAGCCTATAATCAGCAGTGGATAGCCCTATTAAAAGTAAAAAATATAGTTGCCTAGATGCATCCTCTTACAGTCTTCTTTCCTTCTATAAAGGATACGTGTTTAAGCACTTAACTGAATATCATAATTTCTATGCGTGAGAATATCTACTACTCTATATCGTGTTGTTGGTGTCGTAGGAAGCGACTGAGGGAAATGAAACAATAGATGGTTATGGTGGCCACACACACAATTGATATTTTTTAAATTTCGGGTTTTCGATATATCCATGAATAAACTTTTATGTAAAACTCAAAATTGGTATATTTATAATGATCGATATATCGAAATTCCACTATTTTAAAAAATATCAACAGTTTCAGTTTGAACTGATCAGTTGGAATGATCAGTTTAACTGACGGTGTGGCGTCCATTAGTCTAACTTTGGTCTAACTTATAACAACTAAGTAGGTATATAAAATTGCGGTTGCTCACCAGATTGTACGGTGTGGCAACTATGGCATAACTATGGCATGACGATGGCTTATGAGAAATGTATGGGGAGGTCTATGTTCGGCAGTGAACTTACATAGGCTGTAATAAATAAATAAAAAGGTAGGTATATTTCAGGGAAATTTCTCTAAGAACTACTGTCTTTGTGCCATACAATTAATTCCATAAAAACTCATAAGTAAACTACAATTAGAATTATTACAAATACTAGAAATATAACAAATAATGGTAGATGTAAAACATGATTATCTAAGATTTTCGCTCAGTAAAAATTAATTCGTAGAACAAAATGCAATATTAACCAATTGAAAGGTTATAGTTATATGAATAAAATAGTTCAATTGTTTCATTATATGTTCAGTCAAGTTAAAATTTATTCGATATATAGCTTTTAAAAAATCGGCCCGTAATCAAAGATAGATACGCATAAAAATAAAATTAAAGTAGTGGTAAAATTAAAAATGTTGTACAACCGACTTCAATACGACCGAATCAATGTATTCGAAGTCAATTAAATATGCATTATTACAGATAACTCAAAAACTACTGGTAAGATCTTGATTAAATTTATATGGAACCACAGGAGAAGTGTCAGTTTTTAGACAGTAAAAGAATCATCAAAATCGGTTCACACACAGAAAAGTATGGGGTAACACACATAAACCTTTTTTTTAAAGTCTGTAAAAATGACGTGTTTCACTAAACTTGGTAGTACACATTATGTTTAATTCATTTGTACAAAGGTCTTAACTAATAATTTTTTTACATCTTTACTATAATAAATTTTTGCAAAGTAACACATGATTCTATTAACTATGATATAATTATGACTTACACGTGGAGGAGCAAATATGGCTTGTAAATCAATAGCTCTGTCTGGGGCTCGTTCTAACAATCGGAGTAGTTGTGCTGCAGCTTTATGCTCGGCTGGCAGTAGTCCAGGACTGCTCTCGATCTCCTTGAGGAAGTCCATTGTGAGACCACGCAGCCGCTCGTCAGACCAGAAATCTGAAGAGTGCTTTGATATCCAATGTCTGTAAGTTACATTTCATACACTATTAAAGTGAAAAATGAATTGTCCCACCTGATGGTAAGTAGTGATGCAGTCAATGATGATAATGTACGCTAACTTATGTTAATTAAAGTTTTTTAACTCTTGCTTTGAAGGAAAGAAAGAAACAGATTTTATTTGGCACATGCAACACACTCAAGTGGATTACATAAAACAAATAACATTTAAGTAGTCATACAAACAAAAAAACAAAAAAAAATTACATAGAAATCATGAAACAGGACATTCACTCCTTGTTTATAGATATGATAAAACAAAAAAAAAACAAAAAAAAAAGCAAACAATAATATAAAAAAGAAAAAAAATAATAATAATAAAGAACTAGAGAATAAGGAGTAATGCATAGGGTGTATTACAAAGACAATCCACCCGTTAATGTTGCTGTACTCCAAAAAAGGAAAGCCACTCAGGATGTGTTGGAATGTATCAGAAGACACCTTTGAAGACACCTACATTGTATCAGATGGGAAAGTCATGAGCGAAAAATTATTCCACTCCTTTGCTATGTGCATTATGAACGACGAAGCGCATAATTTGGTTCGAATGCGTGTTGTATTGACAAAATGGTGGAGACTAGCCGAATATTTGATGGTCCGGTTTTGTAACGGAGTTTTTTTTTAATAAAATTGGTTGACAAACGAGCATACAGTCCACCTGATGGTAAGTAAATGCTGTCGCCCAAAGTCCTCCACATTTATCTTCAACTAAGGATCAAAATGAAAATGCGTTGTCACCCCTTAGGACTAAGATGGAATGCTCGATACCAATAAAAAGGGTCACCAGTTCTCCAAAATGAGATGAAGGAATTAAGTCATTAAATTCATGCCCACACTTTCCGAAATATATTCTATAAAAAACCTTCTCCTTTTTACGTGGTAGAGCCATGCTGCAATTATATTAGTAGTATAGTTGTAGCACGAATGGGTCGGCTCGACCGGGGAAGGACCACGCTCTCACAGAATACCAGCGTGAAATAGTAGCTTAATGCTGCTGTATTTCGTATTTCGTATGGTGAGTGTAGAGAACCGGAGACCCTTTTTACTGGAAATGAGGCATTCCATCTCAGTCCTCACGGGTGACAACGCATCTGCATTTTGATTTGTAATGGATGATAGATGTAGATGTCTATGGGCCGCAGCAACCACTTACCATCAGGTGGACTGTGTGCTCGTTTGTCACCCTATCCTATAAAATAAAAAAATAAAAAATAAAAAAAAACCTAAAGGCTGGCCACTTTGCGCCTGTCCTCGAGACTGGTATATTGGTGATATTGGTACTAACCATATTGGTGTCACCAGTATGCCTCTTAGCATGCCTACCTATCAAGTCCAAAGCCGTTTGGCTTAACGGCTCCATGGCGCAGTAGCTTAGCATTAAGATGCAGCGCTGAGGGCCGCGATTTTAAATCTCGCACGGAACAAGTATTTGTATGGCCTACAAATAATTGTTCCGAGTCTAGATATTTGTCCTTGTGAAATTAGTGTTTGTAAACTGTCTCCACGATACTGAAGTCGTAGTACGAGTGTAATTTTTTTAATAAATAATAAATTGAGGTAGCATTTTGCAGCACCAGCCCTTATATGGCAGCAACACTCCATGCATGATCGAACTTGCGCTTTAAATAGTGTAAGCAACTGTCCCAACATGAAATATTGCCGTGCTTTTGTATCACATAGAACATGACATCTAATTTCCTTGCATCTGCTTTAACCCAGGACTCAACAGTGTCTACCTATCTGCATAGCAATATTTCACCAAATTCTTTTCGTATCAAGTCCGATATAAGTATAAATGAAAATTAAATGCACTATGATTTTTATATTCATAATTGATGGAATAGTTCGTGATACCGTTTATGGAGCCTTTTTTACTTTGAGATTTTTAGAACAGTTTGTCATATATTAAGATAGCTTTCATATTTTCAGACATAACTATTAAAATTTTTGTGACAGTCCCGGTTGCATAGCTCACACGAGTAAATTAACAGGCTCTTGTGAAAAAGTACTATAAATATCAAAGAAAGCAAATTATAAACACGGGTTTGTAATGTAAATTTCATAGTTGGTACGTAAGTAACTCAAATTAGATCCGCGCCGAGTCCACTAATATTTTAACTGCAATTCGAAGTTTCGATTTACCACGTTCTCGATGGTGAAGAAAAACATCGCAGGAAACCTGCATATCAGAGATGTTAAAAATTATTTCGGTAATTATTTTTAGGTGTAAGTATGTGAAGTCGGTCATCCCGCGTTGGAGTCAACTTAATCAACTCCTTTTTGACCTATAACTCGCTGTAGTATGTGCCCAGGATGTATTTAGAGTGTTACTTTTTATTTTTAATGGGTCTTTTCACTGTTGATTATAGGCTTCCTTCATTGCCTATGTCAAATAGACCGGGTATTTGCAGTAGTATTCAAGCTTGGCCACCGGGTTGGCAACCGCAGCTCTTTATTACTTTGCGCTGTTATCGAGAAGATGCTACCCATCTCCTGTTTCAACTTCGTCTGCCTCCTCTTAAGACACCCACGGGACGAAATGGGGTAGTGGTTCCTTTTTCGCCGCCTCTACATGGCTAATATATTATTTCCCGTTTCTATAAAATATTATATGAAGTTGGATATATGCCATAGTTGCCACGCTTGGCATGCGAGTTGTCAACTGCAATTTTTACTATTATAAGCTATGATCAGGAAGACGTGATTCCCATCTTATGTAGATTTCTACTGCTGTTCATGAATTTAGTTCGTTCTCCGTGAATAGAACAACATTTATGAAATTTTGAAATCTACTCGAACGTAAAAAAATACTGGTATGTGGTGTAATCAATATTCAATGGGACATAAAGTATTAACTTTAATAACGATATTATTTTTAATTTTGTTTAAACAACGCATTTTGCGATTCCAGGACAATTTTTGACACATCGGAAGGCGTGCCCGATTTAAAAAAGGTGTAGCTTGACGTATGATATTTATGTGATTCTGATAAACTAACAGTGATCCAGTTTTGCTAATTTTAGTAAGAAATAGTATTATCGATGTTTCCAAATTCAAGCCCACGTGAGCGAAGCCGCGGGTAAAAAGATAGTATATATATATATATATATATATATATATATATACATGTAACAAAAACCCTGTGGTTCCCGTTAACTGTGTTATCAGAATCACTATGCAAACGTATAGAAATATTTTTTTTTCAAAAAAACACATTTAAAAAATTATTTTAATGAAAAAAAAATTTAATTTGCAAATTATATGTGGTTTTATTTCCTCTAACTTACACGAGTATCGGTAATGCGGGATCTTTGACAATCCTCTTACTCCTCGGCCAATGCAGAGACATACACACACACAGAGACAAAACCACATACCTACAATTTGCAAATTAATTTTTTTTTTCATTAAAATAATTTTTTAATTTTTTTTTTTTTAAATATGTTTTTTTGAAAAAAAAAAATATTTCTAAATGCTTGGATACTGATTCTGATAATGCACTTAGCGGGAACCACAGGGTTTTTGTTACATGTTGTATATATATATATATATATATATATATATATATATATATATATATACATATATATATATATATATACACGAATTGCTCGTTTAAAGGTATAGGATTCAGTCAGTTGACCGCGACCATCTATGTCAGATTACCTAGACACTTTCTTTACCAGTTGGGAAAGGCTTAGCGACAAGGAAAAATACTACACCTCTTTCCTTCATATCTAATTCATAAGTGTACATACAATCTTGTCTAAATTTGAGGTTTACCTGACGAGTAGATGTGTCGTAATCTCCCGAACGCTGCCCAGCCTAGTTGAATCCGCTGATTAACCTCTCAGTCGATGTTGGGCTTACCTAGTCGGACTATTTGTCCCAAGTAAACATACTCGTCTACAATTTCAAGTTTAGTGCTCCCAACAACATCCGGCATAGGTGTGATATGGACGTTACACATGATCTTTGTTTCGTTCATGTTCATCTTAAGGCCTTTCCGTTGGAAGGCACTATTGAGGCCATTGAGCATAGTACTTAGGTACCTCCAGCGATTCTGCCATAAGGACTTTATCGTCGCCAAATCGAAGGTGAGAAGGTGCTGCAATATATTTTCAAAAACCTTACATCCTCATTTAGGATCTCTTGACTATCGTGGAGGCAGTTTACATACATACATTAATTGCACAAGAACAAACATCCAGATCCGGAACAATTATTTGTAGGCCATAGGAATGCTTGTTCCGTTAGGGATTTTAACCCACAGCCCTCAGGGCCTACCTTATGACTAACTCAATGCTAATGCACGGAGCCGTCGGTAGATGCATTATAAATTCAAATTCTCACGTCTATGTCTAAAATTTTCTCCTCACCTTAATACATTGAGAACTCTCATGGTAGCAGCTGTGGATATGACAGAATCACGTCTCTTATGTGGTGGTGATGTAGGCGGTGGAGACCGAGGGTTTGATGACGCTGAAGTAGCCACAGCGAAAGCTGCTGCTGCCGATGATGTACTGCTCCTATATCAAGTACAATCATCCATAACAAGGGTAGATTTAACTGGCGATTCTAAATTTACTCTTATGGTGTATCTTGCAAAATTCTGATAAGATTAGATGTGAAGCTATAGAATAATTATGAAATTGAAAGAAGTGATTAGAAAGCTGTGTTTAAAAAGTTGATGTTTGAATAAGATAAAAAAGATTATAAAGACTAAAATAAGGCATGCAAAGATGAAATATTGAATATACTACAAATGGAATAAGTAAGAAAAAAAGAAGTATAATAATTAATAATGAAATAATCTTGTTGAATATAAAATTAGTTGAATATGCATGCTTATAACGTTACACAAAGCCAAATTCAAATTATTTTGATAAGTAAATTCGAGATGTTAGGCAAATTTTTAAGAGGATATTTGGACGGCAAGACATTTGAAAAATAGTTTCAATGAATCTATTGCTGTAGCGGTGTGCCCAACTGACCGAGCTAGTCAATCTTAAAACTGAAGAGATCATCAGCTCTACTTCCTTGTTTCTTTTGCTAAAACAGGGATGATTTCAATTTTTTTGTGCCAATGTCTGTAGCAATGTTTTCTCTAAATTTTGTGTCCATTAAGTTTGTTGCTGGATGTTTCGATTTTAGTAATTTAAAGAAGGTTTTGGTTTAAAAATTAGTTAACAGAAAAAAGCATATACATAACATTAGTAGAAAAAATTATATAGTAAAAATATTCGCCCTAGTATCATTATCCAGGAGAAACAAAGGAATACGTTTGTTTGACTATATGCCGGCCGGCAATTCTCTGTTTCAAAGATAATCAAATATATTTTAGAGATTATCACCTAGGTTTACGTGCGGTGCAGCATATTTATCTAATTGATAAAATCTTAAACTACTAGTTTAAAAACAAATTAAAGTATTGTTAAAAGCAAATAACAATACTACGGTAAGTAATAATTGTATTTATTAATATCGTCATTAATTCTTGTAGTGTGTTTACAAATAAAAACAAATGCATTTGATAAATGAATAGTAATGTTCAAATTTATTAAAAATTAAGTTCTTTGGTGTCTTTAACTTTTCCATAAAGACACTAGTCACGTCATTACAATACTAATCTTTCCGTTAACTAGTAAGCTTAAAAATGTTTGTGTTGTTCACATAAGTAGTCGAGTGGCCGATTAGAACCCAAAATTTTTCGAGTTTGTAGTCCAAACGCTACTTTTAAGCTACTGTTGCTTGTTTAAATAAAATATTGCTCAAATTATAAGCAATTTTTTAATAGTGGCTAACAATGTCTTGATGTGAACATATTTTCACTTTTAAAAAACGATCCTTGACATAGAAATACCACTTGGATCTATATTTTGACCGAGGACTGACAACGCAAATTTAAAAAGGGGAAATGCTCTAGGTTAAGCAAAATATTCTTTAAATACTCCACTACGGTGGCTCTACAAGGTCTGCAGTCTACAATGTTTACCTCGCCCGCTCACTCACCACAACAGGTCTTTTCCAAAGCTGTTAAATGAATTTTTCATAGATTACAAATCAGTAACACAGTAGCGCATATTCTAATACTAAAATGAATTTGATTCAATAACATAAACAGAAGATCGTATTAAGATCAAACGAATATTTAATGAATTAGATGGAACATCGTGCAAAAGCATTAATAGTGATACTTCCAAGAAATTCGAGATTATGGAATTCACACATGCAACACTGAGAATGAATTGTGAGCTCCCAATTGTCAACTTGGTTCTGAAGTAATCAATAAACATGATAAGTAGTTTATTATAGAATGTTTTGTAACTGATCTAATAGTAGGTAGGTACAAAATTATTAGATATCTGTTTTACCTTCTGTGTGACTGTCTGAATGAAGTGATAACAACGCCAGCTCTGGATTGATTGGTTTCTCGACGATAAGTCTACAATAATGAAAATAAAAACATCAATTACTTCGCGAAAAATTGCAAATAATTTAAAGAAAATTATAAAAAGTAAATTAAATATTTTAAGATAATATTTGGATTTAAGAAGAATTCTTAGTTGAGTGGTATTATTCTTTTTAAAATAGACTTCTATATAAATGACTGAATATCAAATCCCTGGACGAGACAATAATTAATAATTGGGCTTTTCTGCCAAGAAATACGCAGTGACAGCCCGAAGTCAGACAGTTGGCGGTGTTTCACTCCCGTGCCTCAGAAAGCACGTAAATCCGTTGGTCCTGCACTTGATCTCTCTCCAGTCGTGTCAAGTTTTCTACAGTAAAGTTATTTCTATGCATTTAAGTATTGATTTTGGTAACGTAATTAACGTGAACCACAGGATACTTTGTTACATGTACATATACAGGGTGTTAGTGTAAACACCGTTGTCCTTGAAACCAGTGGTTTAGTTTCTCTTATAGAAAGTAATTTCAATTAAAAATAACAACATTTTTTTTAGTCAAATCTCAATTTTTTCTTACAATTATTTCACCCTAGGCAAGTAGGGATATACCTACAGAATTCACAACAAAAAACTCAACATATCGTAGGTAGCGGCAGCGATTCGCGGTCAAGGCCAATGTCACTGTGTCAGTGTGTCAGTCCTTCGCTGCCTCGGAACGGAATGTACGTGTTAATTTGATTTAAAACCGCGCCGCGCAGTGCCGACATTCTACGTCGCTTTAGGTTGTAGTTTTGGAGCGAGTGTGTTTTTTTTTGTTTGTAATTATGTCCTACATAAACGTGCAGTGGAAATGTGCCTCTTCGTTCACTGAGAAACCTCTACTACCAACATGACGGTGCCCCTGCACATTTTCAGCTGCAAATCAGGGCTATGCTGGTTGAGGAGTTTCCTGGGCGATGAACCGACCTTACCCCGCTGGACTTTTATCTTTGGGGAGAAGTGAAGCGCCCAGTGTATGCAACTAAGTTCCGTAATACGTCCGAACTCAAAAGGCGAATTCTTAGTGTATTTAGAGAAATGACACTGTTGTGCTTCTTTTTATTTGCTATAACGATTAATGTAAAAGCTGATCAAAATGGAATTCATTTACGAGGATTTTATTTAATAGGTAAGTGTAAATAACCAATCAATCAGGCTACACATCAAGCTATACAAATCCTTTGTCTTGACCTCGCTTTGCATGATCTTTCCGTACAATGAACGGTCAGCTTACGCTTCAAATACCCTTTGCTTTCCAGGGCCGCGGTACGGTATACGGTAAATACGCCAAAAATCCTACCTAATGATTTACTATTATTAATGTCTAATTTTCTTTGTTGTTAAATCTAACTTACATTAATTTGGACTCGTCACGCAACACAAAGGGAGGAATTTTTATCTGTCCTAAGCTAGTGTGAAAGTATGAAGGAAAAGTTTCATCATAGGTTATGTGTACTATTGTGTATATATTGATATGTTGTGTAGATAGCAAGGCGCGCGGTGATCTTTACAGTGATTACATCACTCGAGCGCATAGGGTATCCATGAATTTACGACGGTGTCGGACAGAAACTTTTTTAATTTTATAAAAGGAAATAGCGTTTTTTAAAAAAAATCGGAAAATATTTTTATATTAAAGCCAACCACCTATGGTTTCAGTGACAACGGTGTTTACACTTACACACTGTATAGGTCTAGCTATACTATAATTTAATTACTTCTAGCATAAGTTAGATAGTATACCGCCATCTATCGGAAGCATTAAAATCCTTCTGGCATTTCCTATTAGTCGCCTATTACGACATCCATCGGACGAAATGGGGTTACTAACTATGGTGACGATACTCTTATATTGTCACCACACGGTTATATAACGATTATGTTTTTTTTAATAATTTTATTTTACCTGGGCCATCTGTGACGCTTGTGATGCAACGGAGGACCGGGACTCTGTTCCTCCCCAATAGCGACGACGCTCACTGTTGATGGATGAGCTGGTGCAGCGCCTTTCACTGTGTGCGGATTACCAATCATGAAATAAATACTAGGTGATAGGACAACTTTTTCTGCCTATTAGGAGTCTGGACTACCTACCTTCTGACCTATTTCTTTTATCAATCAGTGTGCGGTTTAAAGGGTATATCCATTATTATAACAGGCTGTGAGACTTTCTGTCTTAAATTGACAACGCATCTAAAATCTAAAGTTTTCCTTGTTAAAAGTTAGCTGCAGGTGACCATTGACTGAAGTAGATACACAACTACTATCAGGTGGATTGTGAGCTAGTTAGTCATTTCAGTTTATTAAAGACATACAAAAATAATTAAAGTGATATAAAGCAATATGATCACTTAGTTGCGATAATTCTGTTATTGTAACAGTATAGATTCTAATAAGCTTAATCTAGATATTTTTGTGTTGATTCAGCTCAGTGGCACAAACGAAGACCTTACCGCTATCTTCGTTCTTTTTTATTTTCCCGTGTAAGTCCACTGATATAGGTCTGTTCTGGCTAATCTCTTAAACGACTGGACTGATTTTGTCGGGACGGGACACATGGCAGATAGCTAATGTTATAAGGAGTAACTCAGGCTACCTTTATTTTAAAAAAGTAATTAGACTAAGAAATTAGAATAATGTGATTAAAAATTACTCGTATAGAAAATGTGACACCATATTTTTGTAAGATCTCTCTTTGGCAGACCTCTTTTTGTAGCAAAAAATGGTACAATTCGGCATTTTTGTAGAACATCGATTCAGTCGCGCAACGAGATTTAGTTTAATGAGCAGTGTGGCTACAATCAGTTTTATTGTACGCATAGGATCGCGTGGACTTATACTTTGATGGAGGGGAATACCTGCGTATAGCTACACCCCTTCGATTCGCCGGTGGCCCATGTTGTTGTATAGCACTGAATGACGGAGCGGTGAGCGGTCATTTGTATAATCGGTTATACTGCGTGGGGCATCAGGTAGTATCCCGGTGATCAGATCTGCAGGCAGCCGTAATTCTCTTCCAAAGTTTGCGAAAGCTGGTGTCACTGTTGTACTTTCGTGAACAGCGCTTCGATATGACA